TAAGAGGTTTGTTTAAAAGTATAATCCAAATGCTTGTTCAATAACTGCTGTAAGTCTAAAAGAGCGAGTCATTTGTCAGCATGTTTGTCAGTTGAGTCAGTTTTAAGTGATCCCATGAACGCAATTGTGAAATTTCACTTATTGGGACCTCTGTTTAGTTGTCGTAATGATAGTAATGATGTATTTTATTTATAGGCACCGTACATGCAGCAACAAGCAAAGCTGTGACTGGCTATCAGCACTCACACACGACTACCCTTAAATACAAAGAAGTCAATCTGTACAACAAGAACAGATCAAAAAAATGTGCAATAAAAACCCACAAAATCTGGATCACTTTCAATGTTCATGTCAGACACATCGCTCAAACAAAAAGAACAAGAACAAAAAGTGAAAGGTACTGCTGTATACATATTCATGAAAACCAAAATATAATAGCAGTGCCCACAAATATGAGGCCTTAAGCTAATTTAAAATTTGTCAGTGAAGCAACCAAACCACATTCAAATGTGTGCAGAGAGATGGCTAAAAGGCAGAGGGATTCTCTCTGTTATTTATTATTCATCAATCAAGAGAATGTCAAGGATTCAAAGTCAGAAAGTCTTTGTATCACTCCCTCTGCAACTTGTCAAAATGTGTTAAAGAGTCTGATTTGTCTGGTAATGACACCAATTTCCCACAGCAGTAATGCCAACGGATCCAAGAGGCAGGAGCTTAGAGGGTGCAGATAGTTTGAGTGAGCAGGTACTGACACAACACTTTCGGAAACATTATCTTTATTTGGCACATGTTCTACTCCTGGCACACATAACCACAGCGATCAGAGTAGAAGCTCAAATGAGGATAACAAGGACAAGCCTGTAATGACACATGTAAGAAGAGGAGTCCTCCACCGCTACAGACTCTAAAACTGGATAACTAAGTCTGTGCGACCTCCAGACATCCGTTTTGCCCGTAAGGCCAACGGAGATGATTGTTCTTCACATTATGGATCCTTCACCTGGTGGTGATGCTGCTATTCAAGGCATTAGCAGAAAGAATTAAACAGTCTACTGCTTTCCTGGTGACCTGGTGTCTGACGCATGTAAAAAAAAAAAATCTTATCCATCCACCCTTCTGTGACAAATGTTGTCCACGTGGGACTAACTGATTTTCATAAGCAGCAGCTTTAAAGAGATTTTATTCAACTGATAGCGAGGCTACGCTCCATGAAAGTAAAGGCATTCACGAGTGGTTCTCTCTCTTCTAGTGACCGAGGAAATACATTTAGTAGGTTACAGCGTTTGAGTCTTTCTTCAGCCCGATCCTCTCAGATTCAGATGGACTTTGCTGAAGACTTTAATAATAATAATAAATAATAATTGATCAGATTTATACAGCGCTTTTCTGGACACTCAAAGACGCTTTACACTGTCAATTATTCATTCACACACATTCATTCTGGTGGTGGTAGCTACGCTTGTAGCCACAGTCGCCCTGGGGCAGACTGACAGAGGCGTGGCTGCCATTCTGCCCCTCCGACCACCACCTCAAACAATCCATTCATGCGCATTCACACCAGGCAAGGTGGTGTCTTGCCTAAGGACACAACGACCATGAAACAGGTTAGAGGGCGGAATCGAACCGCCAACTTTCCGATCATCGACCGACTCGCTCTACCACCTGAGCCACAGCCGCCCCAAATCTGTTTAATCTGTTTTAGGAGCACAAGTAGGCGTGGTATGAACTGATTCAGTCACTCAGATGATCCATCCATCCATTATCTATACACCGCTTAATCCTCACTAGGGTCGCGGGGGAGCTGGAGTCTATCCCAGCCTACTTAGGGCGAAGGCAGGTTCACCTGGACAGGTAACCAGTCTATCACAGGGCTACACTTAGAGACAGACAACCAAGCACACTCACATTCACACCTACGGACAATTTACAATCACCAATTAACCTCAACATGTTTTTGGACTGTGTGGGAGGAAGCCGGAGAACCCGGAGAGAACCCACGCTGCACGGGGAGAACATGGAGACTCCACGCAGAAAGATTCAGGTGCCCCCACCGGGACGCGAACCGGCAACCTTCTTGCTGCGAGGCAACAGTGCTAACCAACTGCGCCACCCTGCAGCCAGTCAGATGATTTGTGACAAAAAAGTCTGATGCTTCATTCCTCCTTCCACCGATGGACCTCCAACCCAGCAATCCACTGTCACACTTCTTGACAGGAATGTCAAAACGACATGTCAAACAAACGACCTCCAGGCATCACACAAACTATTCCTACCCACAGCTACAGTCAACACATGGATGTTCCACAACCTCTCCTCCAGAAACGGGCAATCATCAACATCACCAGCCTATCTTGGCCAAATGTCTTTCTTTCGCCAAAACATGTGTTATATTCATGGTTCTTTAGGGTACAAAAGAACCTTTGATTGGCACAACTGTGTCTTCATCAGAGCAAAGTGTCCTTGTCCTCCCCCTTATCACGCTGTTTTTCCACATAGCAGATGCCAAGGTGTAATGTCAGTGATTGTATGTACTTAAGTAGTCCACCTCCTCAACTGGGTTGTGGGTCAGTCTGCCTCCGACTGTTTGTTCTCGCCCCACACCAAACATGGCAAATCTTGCTGTACAAGGCCTGCAGCGCTCAGACTTTTTGTCCTGTTATAAATGACTATGCCGTCCACGGTTACGTCAGAAGTAACATCTCGGGTAACGCTGTGACACGCATACTCGTTTGTTTTCTGCTGGCTTCGGGCGCCATGTCAGTGTTTCACCTCACAAACACGGACCCAATCTTTATTGTTTCATTTGCTAGAGGAGTTCCCACCACTATTGCGACACTAATCGTGCTCATCGTTTTGATATTTTCTTTGTTATGTTACCTTGAATTACAGGAAAATCTGACTCTGAGGCTGCAGATCGCTTCTTGTACAACTCTTCCCTTGGCCTGTGTCCATGGCAAAAAGCTTAGGAAACAAAATGCTGCTTTGTCAGAGTCAGTCATGATCTCCCTCAGGGCTCCAGACTCACTTTTTTGTTTTTACATCGGTTGCTTTTTCACTGATGCCTCTTTTAGGGCGACCCAACATTTCAAACTGCACCTTTTTATACATTTTAAGCATTTATCTTGTTGTCTGCTTCCATACACACTTGTAATTACTTCAAACACTAAGTAGATATTTAAACCATCCTTTCTCATAAGCATAATCTGGGACTTTGGCTCTATGATTGGCAGTGTTTAATTTCATCATTCCTTAACTGCTTCTGTTTGCCGCTGCCTGCTGCTGCATATTCTGCAGTCTTAAGGAGACATTGTATTTTTTTCACGCTTCAAGTAACACGTTAGTGCTTTGGCAGGAACAGCGCAATGCATAATGTTGGCTCTTTTATCATATCTCAGTGATTCCCACGAGTCAAGGAGTTGCTTGGGATGTTGGGCGGCTCGGTGTGACCGACGTGTATCCAAACCTAAGCAGTTCAGAGGCCACAAATCACTGATGTCCCTAAACACCTCACATGTGTAGCTAGACGCTGCAACTTACCAGTGTTTCCATATGCACCTCACGTGTATCCATAGACAATACAGCTACGAGTGTTCCCAAAACATCTCATGCGCATTGATGATGCTGTGCACAGAGAAACCTCTCGTCTCCACTCATCAGCACACACTACTTAGACAAGTGTATGTCCAAAAACTGGTTTGAACAGATTCAAAAAAGGCTTTTTTTTTAATGTCAGATTTGGTGAAAACCAAGTCACCTGGGTGGACTGCCCAGAGACACACACCTGCTCCGTGTCAATCCCACCGATGAAGATGTTTAGTCGTTCTTGACAGATGTTTGGTTGCATTCTGGAGCCTTTTCTTCTAGAAATGTTCAGTCCTGGGACTCATCATTTTCTGTCTCTACGTGCATCCTTTAATCTCTTCTAACTGCAAACATAGCATCCGTTTCTGTTGCTGTACAGATGACACACAGCTCAATGTGCCAGCTTCCCCTGTTGACTTCTAGTCTTTGTAAGCTTCTAGAAGTCAGTGACCGGATGGCTCTGAGTTTTCTTCAGTTAAACAAGGACAAAACAGAGATTGCGATAATCTGTAAATAAGCCATTGCATCGTCTTGAGTGAAATATGCCATATTCATAAAGCTCATTATTATCATTTAGGGGCTGCATGGTGGATCGGTGGTTAGCACTGTCGCCGGTTCGCGTCCCAGTGAGGACACCCGGGTTCTTTCTGTGTGGAGTCTCCATGTTCTCCCTGTGCAGCGTGGGTTCTCTCCGGGTTCTCCGGCTTCCTCCCACAGTCCAGAAACATGTTGAGGTTAATTGGTGATTCTAAATTGTCCGTAGATGTGAGTGTGCTTGGTTGTCTGTCTCTAAGTGTAGCCCTGTGATAGACTGGTTACCTGTCCAGGTGAACCTGTCTTCACCCTGAGTCAGCTGGGATAGACTCCAGCCCCCCAGGACCCCAGTGAGGATTAAGCGGTGTAAAGATGGATGGATGGACGAGTGGATGGATGGATTATCATTTGGTTTCTGTGCTGAATGTATATCCAGGCGAAAATACTAAAATATCTAAGGAGTACCTAAAAGGATGGGTGTGATTTTGGTGCTCTTTGTACATGTGGGCGGCTGTGGCTCAGGTGGTAGAGCGAGTCGGTCGGTGATCGGAAGGTCGGCGGTTCGATTCCGCCCTCTAACCTGTTTCATGGTCGTTGTGTCCTTGGGCAAGACACTTCACCCACCTTGCCTGGTGTGAATGCGTGTAAATGGATTGTTTGAGGTGGTGGTCGGAGGGGCAGAATGGCAGCCACGCCTCTGTCAGTCTGCCCCAGGGCAGCTGTGGCTACAATCGTAGCTACCACCACCAGAATGAATGTGTGTGAATGAATAATTGACAGTGTAAAGTGTCTTTGAGTGTCCAGAAAAGCGCTGTATAAATCTGATCTATTATTATTATTATTATGTGATGTTCTCTGTGTGTGTTTTTTTCTCACACTTGCAGGTGCATTCTTCATTCCTTACATTCTGTTCCTTGTGACTTGTGGCATTCCCCTGTTTATGCTGGAAACAGCGCTGGGCCAGTACACCAGTCTGGGGGGAATCATGTGCTGGAGGAAGGTCTGCCCCTTGTTTGAAGGTGAGCTGGCTGCCAGGGTTGCGGTTAAAGAGGAGATACTGAGGGAACGCAATGTTAACTATTTATATTGTTTCCAGGCATGGGATACGCCAGCCAAATGATCATTTTCTATGGAAGCATGAGCTACATCGTGATTTTAGCCTGGGCCTTTCTCTACTTTTTCTCCTCCTTCTCCCGAGAGTTGCCATGGACCTCCTGCAACAACACGTGGAATACAGGTGACTCTCTGCCACACACACACCACCAGCAACAATTAGGGAAATATATACTCTATTTTAAGTGTGTGTAAATTGAATTATACAAGTTTATCTTCATGCAATGCGAAGGACAATGTTTGCATTATTTCACTGACATTTTAATCAAGTGTAATGTCTTACTGAAGCATTCAGAATTCACCTGAACCAGATCCACTGACAATGCAGTACTCACCTGAAGATGTGTCTGTAGCGCATGCGTGTTTAACAATCCTTTGGTACATTTCAGATCAATGTGTGGTAATAAACAACTATAATGCCACTGCTAACTGGACCTCACCTGCGAATGCCACATCGTCTGTTACAGAGTTTTGGCAGTAAGTTTTTATATAAGTAAGACTGACTAATTAGTCGCAGGTCAGTGTTTAAGTATGTTTAAATCAGCAGCGATGTCAGTGAACCACACTTTACACATCCAGTCGATCCTGAGAGGATGTCGGGTTACTGCCAGTGCGACATGATACCTACACAAGTTTTGAAACAGGTTTGTTGTTAGAAGTGGACAATACAAATAAAACTGGATAATACACATAAACATAATTAACGATTATAAATAATGCAATCTAAAGTAATAACCGTCAAAATTACACCACGTTGCTGCTGGATGGATTGTGTAGCACTGGCAGTAATTTTTAACACCTTACACAGCCCCTTTGCCCAGAAACACTAGCTCGTTTTTCCACATTGGACCACATCTCAACAGTTGTTGGATGTGTACAAAATGTGTGATGATGTCGTCCCTCGTGTTAAGCCAAGAAAGCCTCCAAATTTTACGATGTAGTTTGGTAGTACTGGTGAGTTAAATCTGACCAGATGTCTGAAACAACCCTCCATTAGATTTGTTGAGTATTGAAGCGGTCTGATTTGCACTGGTGTTTCAATTTCATCCTCTGGATAGGAGTGTTTACAACCACAGGACACAATTTATTCATTCACTTTCTACACAGTAAAGGTCTGCTCTCAGGGTTGAAGATATTTTGGTCTCTGTTCTGGAGAATGCGATGCTGTCATTGTGCAGTGATTTCTAACTGAGCGTAAAGGCCATCACCCACGTTACATTGACATCTGGGCAACATATATATCTCTGAAAGAAGCCTCATGTCAGCATTTCATTTACGATGATTAAATCCACATTTATCAGAACTATATTGTCAAAGCGCAAGCAGCTCAGCAAGCACCTTGGTTTTACTGTGATGTAAAGGCAGCAATTTCTTGTATTAGTGCTGAAAAGCATTGCTCATTGATCACTTTGCAATTAAAGCCCCTTGCACACTCAAAAACAGATGCTTTCATTCATTCTGACCTCTTGTCAGGACTACGTGAGCATCTACCAGCTGCGTTTGATTGATGTGTCCTACACTCTTCTGATGTCTTCAGGGTGGGACAGTTTACACGTAACACAAACGTGAGCGTCGGCTCCTCTAGCATCACCCCGAGGAAGAGCTAATTAGCCAGAATAATTAAAAACACCTGTGCAGGTGTGAAGGGCCTTTATATGCACATTCAAGCATGTATCATTCTGATTAGTTTGCTGAGCTTCAGGATCAAAAGAACTTTCACGATGGACCTCTTGACTTGTCAGTCAGATATGTAGCTGATTACACATATAACAGCTGCATTCCTTTCAGGTGTATCAGTGCCAGCTTGCTGCACTTTGTAGTAGGGCCATAGCGTGTTCACTGATTGCCCGTTTTTCTAACTCTCGGCCCACTCTCCAAATGTAGTTTTTGCTATATTAATTATTAAATGCAGCGTAAATTTGCTGTAGGGGTTTTTTAGCCTGTCGACGTGCCTTGTTTTGAATGATCGTAAGATATTATATCACCTTGCAGACGACGGGTGTTAAGTATATCCAGTGGCATCGAGGTCTTGGGAAAGATCCAGTGGGACCTTTCTTTGTGCCTTCTCCTGGCCTGGGTCATCTGCTACTTCTGTGTGTGGAAGGGGGTGAGATCCACAGGAAAGGTAAATGTGTGTCACGTTGAATCACATTTTGTGTCCCCACTTTTCTAACTAAAAGTGACTGCACAATTTGCCGTCTGGATTTGTTGGCGATTGAACAAGTCTGTCACTTTTAGTTATTTCTCAACCACTTTCATTTCTCTTCCAGCATTGCTAAAAAAAAAAAAGTCTTGGATCAAGCCTGTGGAGCTTTGGCAGGTGTATAGAAGTTGAATTTCGCCATTTCCAGTCCCAAAGCTCTCTTTTTTTCTCTCTCTTTTTTTTCTTCTCCCAAATTCACAGTTATTTCATTGCGGGCGAAACCTAAACTGTCATTTACTGAGATGACATGGAGTTAATTTGCTGTGTTTTGTAATGTCATCTTTTTACGACTGTTACAACACACGATTTCTCATCCTCAATGCTTTCGAGAATCAGTGACTTTTTCATGCTCGTAATGATTCATAACCATGATGATGTTAACGCCATAAAACATTCAGACTATTTCGCAACTGATCTGAAATTATATATCTGCCACACCCTGCATTCCACGAGCTGGTACCAGGGTACCAGAAGTTTGCTATGAAAAACAAAAGGCATTTGATAACATGAAGGCAACCACTGCCTATTTTTCTGCTGCAGCTTCAAAGGCAATAACCGACTTTCACGTGTGCACATGTCTGTTTTTTTTTTGGTTTTTTTTACTGAATGCTCAAACCAGTCCGAGACACCTACCAGCCTAAATATAGGCTCCTGAACAGTGGTTTGGAAGGTTTTGGAATACGTGACACCCTTTAACGGATTTAAAGAAGCAGGCAGCAACATTGTAAGCTTGCACTCGTGCTTTATATAATCTCCTCATGTAATGTGTTGCACGTGGACAAAATTGTGGTTTTGTAAATGTCCATTAAATAGGTAGGCAGTTATGCACTTGTGGTTACCTCAGACCTGCAGCCACATGCAGCCGGAGTGTTGAAAGACAGTATTACTGATAGATGTTATTCACAAAGGTATGAAAAGTGCCAAAAAGCCAATAATGTTGTGGCGGTGATTGATTGGATGAACAGGACAGATGTGAGGTCTGTAATTGTGAGAAAGTGAAGTGGAAACGCTCGCTGGCGTGACGCCCCATGTGTGCAGTGATATTTCCCCAGAAGTTCATATTATAGCAGTATATCCTCTTGTACAACGACGGTCAACACCTTGAAAGTTATCCAACGATAATTACCCAGCCACACGTGAAATGACATGTTCTATAACTCTGGAGGGATACAAAGGAGCCTTGTACATAGACCGTCATTAAAAACAAAATGGAGGTGATAAATAAAGTTGGTGTGTTACCAAACTACCACCTGTCACAGCAGTGTGTTATTACGCGTGGTGCCGGTTATGATCAAGTATTATAATGTGTGTCATAAATACTGATTACCTATGACTTTCTGCTTTAATGCAGGCTACCTACTTCACCGCCACGTTCCCTTTCCTCATGTTGATCGTGCTGTTTGTCAGAGGGATGACCCTTCCTGGAGCTTTCCATGGTATCACGTACTACCTGTACCCCAATCCCACCCGACTCGCCGACCCACAGGTATCACTCAAATCTAAATTGCATTTTTAGGAGTGTTTTTTGGACAAACGGTGTATCATGAGTGTAATTATAGGTCTGGATGGATGCTGGAACGCAAATATTTTATTCCTACGCCATTTGCTTGGGATGCCTGACGACACTTGGGAGCTACAACAAGTACAACAACAACTGCTACAGGTGAGCGCTTCATGAAGGTGTGTCTGACCGTTACTAGATCATGCAATCATGCAACACTGTCCCAATGTGTCTATCAATAAATAACACATAGTATTTGGTTGAGAACATTTGCAACATGTTTGTCCTCTGTTTTTATCTACTTGCTCATTTTCAGGTGGTTGCCTTCCTCTATGTTCCTCTCCTTGTTTGCACTATTTGTTATATTTATATGTACATTTTTTATTTTTATTTTTTCCTGTCTCGTATATGTGTACCTCTGTTGAATGCTGCTTCCAACGATGTGAATTTCTCCACTGTGAGATAAATAAAGGCATATCTTATCTTATCTTATCTTATGTTACTTTACTGCACTGTGGTCATCGCAGCGTCATCAGACTTTGATGCATGTGTGTTACCAAGACAGAAATAACGACCCGGTGCTCTGTTTCTGATTGGCAGGGACTCCTTCTATCTGTGCTTGTTGAACAGTGGGACCAGCTTTGTATCTGGCTTTGCCATTTTCTCAATTCTGGGCTACATGTCGCAGAAGCTGGGTGTCGACATCGCGACGGTTGCTGAGAGCGGTATGAACAGACGTCAGCTTTCAGACACACATGCATTTATCCTCAGTGTTGAATTACAGATTTAAGAATTAAGGAAATAACTGGTTTGCTCTGATGATTAGGAACTGTTTTAAATTTTCTGATATTTGCTATGATTATTCCTCCTGAAATCTTGAGATTGGCAACCAGCTTGGCTCGGACGCTTCCAGAAGTGATTCACTTGTTGTTGGTTTCACTCTGCAGGTCCCGGCCTTGTCTTCATAGTCTACCCACAAGCCGTGACCCTGCTGCCATGCCCTCAAGTTTGGTCGGCGTGCTTCTTCGCCATGATCGTCTTGCTGGGAATAGACGGTCAGGTAGGCTGCTGCCTTTCGTACATCTCCTAGAACATGTCTCAACATTAACACGTCTTTACACTAACCTGTCTTTGTGTCGTTCTCCAGTTTGCGGGGCTTGAAAGCATCATGACCTCCTTTGCAGATATCTACCCTTCCCATATCCGAAAGGGATACCGCAGAGAGCTTTGTCTGATGCTGATCTGTGCTTTTTCCTATGTGTTTGGCCTGTTCTTGGTGTCAGAGGTGAGGTGCACATTAAAATGATTTATGATATGAGAAACGTTGGTGGTGCTTGTTAACAGGAGATTTATTGTGTACTCTGTTTATAAAAGGTGACTAATACTAAGATTAATGTATTGACTGTATTGACATTTCAGGCTGGCGCGTACATTCTGCAGATTTTTGATCATTATGTATGCAGCGGTCCGACTCTTCTTCTGATGGCAATCTTCCAGTCAGTTATAATTGGATGGATTTATGGTAATGAAAAAAATTGTCCTCAATTTACCTTGAGAGGTAAATATTGCACCGACACGGCACTAGCGGCACACCCTTCAAACTAAAGCGATGTATTAGTCATTTGTAACGACTTGTTTACATAAAATAGTGCTCTCGTCCTACAATCTGATTCTTGGAAAACACTTTAGGATAAGATGAGAAAGGATAAAACTTGTTGATCCCAAAGGACACTCTTTTGCCAGATATTGCTCAGATAACAAAACCACGTAGCATTTATAGTGCATTTACTCATTATTTCTAATTGGATTTTAGTAGTGGGTGATGGTGGCGTACTGGACTGCATTACTTATTTTGCAAACCCCATCATGGAAAACAACAGCAGTGCATCTTTCAAAAGTTGCTTTGCCACAAAAGTGTGAAATTAGCTGCACTGTCCTTTTATATGAGACAGAAAGACAGAGAGGAAATCTAAAAAGAAAAGTCTCCGGAGTGAGTTCAAGACTGTGAACAACAGTCCACAACAGAAAGTTGTACAGTCTTGGACAGCTAGTATAATGACTTGGTTAACACAAAACTAATGACTAAAGAGCTAATTTAAGTTCTTAAATTAGATAAGCTGCAGACAAAGGTATTAGGACAGCAAAAGATAGCTGATAAAATGGTCTGAAAACCTCAATTAAACTGTATTCTTGTCTCTAGGCACGTTTTTTTTCCCTGCAAGAATTTACTGGAAATGTCCGCTTCTACCTTGTAAAAATATCTCTGTCCCAGGTGCTGAACGCTTCTGTGACAACATCGAGGACATGATTGGCTACAAGCCTCTATCGCTGATCAAGTACTGCTGGCTGTATGCCACCCCAATCACCTGCAGCGTACGTGTCTAAAGCAGGTCATCACACTGACGCCAATAATCCAGAAAGTGGTATATATTTACTGTTTATGATTTGTGTCTCTTTAAAGGGCACCCTGGTGTTTTTGCTCCTGAGATACACCCCGCTGAGGTTCAACAACTCCTACGTGTATCCGTGGTGGGCCTACTGCATCGGCTGGTTTCTGACCCTATCGTCTCTGTCTATGATCCCGTTAACCATGATCTGCAAACTGGCCAGAGTCGAAGGGACGCTCTGGCAGGTCAGTGACGTGTGATATTGAATTTAAACACTTTTTTTTTTGCCAGCTGTGCTCTGAGATGTTCTCTGACGGCGTTAACGTCTTTCCGCAGCGTCTCAAGACCAGCTCCCAGCCCGCAGACGACCTTCCAGTGATGGCAAAGGACCTGTCGAGCGTCAATGTTCCACTCCGTGACGGTGGGAAGCACAGCCACGGTTAATCCAGCGACAATCTTTAAAAAGAGAGTTTGTTTTTTTTTGTTATGTTAAAACAATATGTAGACGGTGTAGTTTGCTGTTAATTTGGTGGGTAGTATTATTTACCTCTACTGGTTTTAGGGTAAGACGAAATAATAATAATGAAATTATATTAAGAATTGTTGCTGTTGACTGTAATATCATGCTGAGTTGAAACCTCTTGTCTGTTAATCGCAATTTAAATACCACAAAACTCAACAGTGGCTTTTCTGCATACTTTAGCTCACTTAGTACAACAACCACGTGAATGAATGTGCAGGTACAGTCATGCAGGTGAAAGAAAAGAAAAAAAAAACTACTTAAGAGGCGATTAACACTCAATCTACTTCATCAGGAATGTGTGGATCAGGTTTGAGCAGATTTTAATGACAGTGGTCACCATGGCAAAAAAGAAAAAAGAAAAGACCCGATACCTCCCGGGCAGCATCACGACTGTAGACGAGGGGGGACAGCAGACCGAGTCCCGTCTGTGGGCAGAGCTGTAGACGGCCTCCCTGGTTCTCACCTCGTTTTTTTTTTTTCCTCCCCCTGTTTCGTCTCAACTGCCTGAGCAGTCGTTCATATGATTTCATCTGTGAAACTCTCCAAAGCTTCCAACGCCGTGGCCCACCGTCACCATGATCAGCTTCAGACACACATGCTGACGTTCTTACTGTTTTGATGTGAATTTTAACTGTAACCAACTATTTTTTTAAACAAAAAAAAAGATTTTCTACATGATAAAGATTTTTCTACATTATTAAGAGCGGTTAGTGAGAGATTTATCTGTCTAATATTTTATACATTCAGAATATATTTTATTATTTTCTTCCTAATTTACTTGTTAAAAACATATAATAAGCCAAATAAATAGACCTCCTCATGGCTGTCAAAAAAGTGTTCAGCTACTTTGCTGCTTGAATTTATGATACAGAAACTACAGTGCCTTAAACACTATTTTTACTTGTTGTTTTTTTTAAAGGTACATAGAATTTCCTTGGATTACTGTATTGATAAAGGCTTTTTTTTTTATTTAACTTTTGTCTTTAAATATTACATTTATATAATTAAAACAAAAACTTTCTGGGGTGATATAGCTGGTATATTTTAATTATGTATGCATCTGTGTAAGGTGAGTGTAATGACATGCAAAGTGATCAATAAATGACTACCAGGCGTTGATAAATCTGTGTGTGTGTGTGTGTTCCTGGGGCTCACTTTTTAACACAAACATTCAGATTTGATGGAAAGCCGGTTGTGATACAGTTAAAATGAAGACACATCGACTGTGGAAATTCATTTTCTGCACACAGTTTTTTGTTTTAGATGTAGAAATGCATTCAGAGAAAGCTGACTTGACAATCGTCGGGCCAAACGTAGAGCCGTGAAGTCCAAGAAACCTTTTACATCACTCTGATCCAATTGTGTCAACTAGGTGTGAGCAGGGGCAAGAACGGGGAAAAAAGCATTTCTGAAGCTTTTAAAGACACCCCTTCATTTAAAAATCAAGGTTGTATTACTTAAACAGGCCCACATGGGGAGTGTTTGTCTGCTAGAAGACGAATCATGACTAAAAGTTGACGATTCACACGCGTACAGCTGAACTGCTGCAACATTACAGCAGCTGAGTTGGTGTGCTCAAGCTGCAGCGGTTCGAGAAATAACGATGGGAACTTCAAGGATCTGCACTATCTAGAGCAGGGGTCTCAAACTCAGGGCCTGGGGGCCAATTGCAGGCCGCGGAACGATATTTTGTGGCCCCCTACTTGACATCAAAGTTCAGCGTTAGCGTGGCCGTTTTTCTCACGTGCACCGAGTCGTTGCCCTGAGCGTTTCATATTTTATCACTTGTGGGCTACCGTAGCTCAGGCTTGTAACAGCAGCGTGAATTGGCAACGCTAGTCACCTGAAACTTGGGAGTGTCACCGAGTGGAGAGAAAATATATCCTGTCATCCTTTTTCCTATCTGTGTGAAAAGCTCTTCTCCACCATGAACTGTAATAAGTCAAAGCACAGGTCCAAACCTACTGATGAGCATCTTCAAGCCACACTGAGGGTCTCAAATGTTTCCTCTCTCAAGCCAAATGTGGCTCAGCTGTGTAGGAGGAAGCGCTGCAGCAAGGAGGAGGTAAGACGAGCCCTATGTTCTGAAGCATGTTCATGTTCTGAATTGTTATTAATGAAGATTGAGAAGATTGGATCAGTTGTACGTTTCTGGAATACTTGAAACCCTTTAAATACTTGATGCGGCCCAGCCTCACCCAGACTCTATCTCCAGCAGCCCCCACGTAAGTTGAGTTTGAGAGCCCTGATCTAGAGGAAGCATAGAGTGACATCACAGCCATTTTAGAGCAGGGAGAGATTATTTTCATGGAAAAAAAAGGGCTGAATGTGTAACTTTGGGTACATGAAGGTGAGTGTTTAAGGGTTTAATCTACGACTGGAGACGGACGTTAACTTTCTCTGGGCTGGAAGAGGCCTTGGACTCGATAAAATGGCATGAAAAGCCTCGGTTAGGGAGGTAAACAAGGACTCCAGTAATCTCAAAATGGTTGTTTTTACTTGTGATTATGGATAATCACGTGTGGAATTAATAGTAAGCCAAACAAGTATTTTTAATCCGTCCTAAATCGGTCAGACAACAGGGCTGGATTTTGCCTTCAGAACTGCTCTAGTTTCTTGGGCCATAGATTGAACAAGATGCTGGAAACATCTAAAGAGTTGACGGTTAACACCATTTTTGTAGATTTTCAGAAAACTCTTTTTTTTTTTTGTTGTTTGCTTGAGATAAAAATCAAACTGAAGCCGAGTGGATTTGACTCAGTAGAAATGACAAAAGCAGAGATAACTTAAGCTTGACTGATGTTGTCTCAGGTAGACGATGGACAAGTTCTGAAGGTTTGTGAAGATGGAGTTATCTGTTTTTGCAAATGAACTCTTCACTCCTTCACAGAGTTTGGCCCATATTGACATGAACTCATGCAGTTGTTGCAGTTCCAATTCCTCCACATCCCAAAGGCGGGCTGAGATCTGGTGAGTGCTGTGTCTATTTAATAAATCAATTTGAGATGTTATGAGCTTTGTGATGTGAAAGGAGCAAAGATACATGCCAGGAACGCAGCCCGTCATCATTACACAAGCAACAGCCTGAGTCGTTGATTCCAGGAGAGATGGATCCATACCAGTTTTAATTTACTTCTGCCTCTTTCATTAGCCCTCACCAGTCCAGCAATTTCACTCTGGACCTTTCTCTGTAAACATCCCAGTAGATCAAGAGCTACTGAAACAGCCAATCTGTCAGCAACATGCCATGTGCAGAATCACCTTTCACCCCCGTCCTGACGCCCGGTTTGACCTGCACCGGCCAGTGCTTTAAACAAGCAAGTAAACTGGTGTTTCAATACAGAGAATGGTGCTTTAATAAAGTGCGCTACCAGGGAAAAGTGGGGCCTAAACGGCATCCAAAACTGCTCTCGCTTGGCTGTGCAACTCGTGTTCTTGGTTAAAATGTTGGCACAAATGATCTTTTTCACACCTTCAGTCACAAATAATATGAACAGATCCATAAATCATTCTGATTATTCCTGGAAGGCCGACAGTAAAAACAAGCCTGGTGGCATAATAAAGCCTGATAGACTTTCTCTACACGCATCAGTAAACATAGGGCTGAATTTGCTTGCCATTTCTTCCTTCGCTCTGAGATTGCATTGCCTGCTCAAACTCTCACTGTTCCTTCTGGTCTTTAACTTTTGAGTAACATAGTTAAACTGATGTCTTACAAAGTACCAACACCAACCACCGACTTAGAATATGTATTTTCCGTGGCTTAGCTGTGTCTCATTCCCAGAACCCCCCGACACACACACATAAATTTGTGACCTTTACACATTTAACAGACATTTATTTTTATTTAAAAACAGTGTGTAAAAAAGAAAAAAAACTACATTTGCTCAATTAGGTACAGTAGCTCTGACAATTTTGATATCATCAGCTGGACGATCTTGACCGTTTGTCTCCACCATGCCGATCCGGTTCAGCACTCCCATCCCCTGATACACTCTTCCAAAAATACTGTGCTTTCCATCTAACCACTGAGTGGGTCCCAGAGTGAGGAAGAACTGACTCCCGTTGGTGTCTGGTCCCGCGTTGGCCATCGCCAAAATACCTGCACCTAAGAGACGCACAAACGAAGGAAGAAAATTACAATCTTGTAACTTTCCATCATCGTAAAGTATGACAATGATCTTAATAATCAAAAACACTAAACTAGCCTGTTCTATTCTGATCCGCCACATTCTATTTGACTGGGATTTTCCCCCATCGTGATTACCTGTGAATTTCAGCTCTGGGTTCAGCTCATCTTCAAACTGTTTGCCAAATATGGAGGCACCACCTCGACCTGGAAAACAAAGATCATAAATTGAGTGAACGCGTAAACAAGACAAAACCAGAACTGCTGCCGCTAAGTTCGTAGAGAGTCATATAAATCAAACTTACAGGTTTACACACTTGGTCAAAAAAGCTGAAAGTGGCAGACCATAAATTGTAGTGATATAATGAAAATGCTATAATGTTAATACGAAGACGTTAAGAAGAATCTTCTACCTCGCGGCACAAAAACTCTTGAGCACCTGAGACCAGTGTCATAAACCTGAGTAAATGTGAAACAGGTGCTCCTGAGTTGCGGTGTGGAACGATAACCATAAAAATACTTTGGCAGGACATCATGATCTTGTGGTGAAGTTTTGGCTAGTTTTGTCATAATTAGCGTCTGAGTCCTTGAACTATGGTTAAAAACATGTTTCGGATCCAAATTGCGCACTTTGAGATTGGTGTTGCGTTATCCATCATTTTTGACGTCTGACACCAGTTGTTTGTTTTGTTTTTTTTACAAATCAGACGCAGCTGTCAACAACAAAGCTATAAACATGAGCGCAAATTTCAAGAGGGTGGTTCTGGGGCGATTCATATTTTTTTCACACATTACAACAGGACTACACATGTTCAGTGCCTGTGACTAATAACCTGTTAAACAGCTGATGTTTGAGCAGTGAAATGTCGTGTCAGGATTGGGGACACAAATCTGACACTATTTCTTAAACCAGTACTTCGTCGCATTTCGACCAATATTGAGTGTTGTTGGGTGTTCCTTTGCCAATGTGCTGATTGTGCACGGTGACATGTAGGTGACAGAAGAGAAGGAGAAAAGCCGCATCAAAGGCCGATGGTAGGTTTATCCCCGCAGACTACACACAGTAAGTTCGACTGGCCAAACCCCCACACAACACAACCGAAGCAACAATCACAAAACATGCAAAACTGCCTTCAGTCTGAGGGACCACGGGTCACTGCAATGATAAACACAACGAACAGGCTGCAGACTTCCTTCATATGACATGGCAAGAGCCAGATACAACAACTCATGTAGAACATGAACTGCAAGGCTGCCAATGGGGAAGAACACCAGCAACACATTCGGATCAAACTGTCATGCTACATGCGAAGGAAAATTATGTGAAAAAAAAAAAAAAAAGAAGAATAGTCCTTACAGCACTCAGCTACCAAATCAAAATCCAATCCAGTTTATTGTCATGTTGCTGTACATACACAGTAGTACAGGCAAGATGAGAGAGCGTTTCTTCAGGATTATTCAACCAGCAAGTTTTGCAGAATGAACATCTGGGATGAGACACTAAACGTTCACTCTTGCTGTCTCCTGAAGGGGGCGCACCATCCATGCGTGCCACCATTCATTGAACATGGAGAACCTCTTCAGGTCCTGGTAGGTCTTCAGGGACACAAAGACACACACGATGGTGTGACGATGGTGAAGCTGCAGATGCTGCCCAGAGCTAGCTGTCTGTCTGTCTGCATCCCTTCCAGCTGTCTGTCCGTCTGGGATGTTGTCATGGAGCCATGTTTCTGTTAAAGCAAACACACAGCAGTCCCTCCACTCTCTGTGGGTTTCTCTCAGCAAACGCAGCTCGTCCAGCTTGTTGTGGAGGGAGCGGACATTGGAGAGTAGGAGGACGGTCCTGCTGGTCTGGAGGGGTTAGCCTTTAGCCTAGCATGGATCCCGCCTCTCTTCCTCCTCCTTTGTTTACGTTTGTGCCGTTTGCGCTTCCTTCTCTCTCGGGTAACTGCCGGCGTCGTCTCTGATTGGACCTCATAAACCTAGAACTGTTTTCATTTGCAGAATTTACAGCACAATCCCGAATACTGAAACACCATCCAAACGCATGCTAACTTAAAGCATATGGTTCAAGCAAGAGGCCCACATTAACAAATGAGAGACTGATGTCAGCCACCTAAACGTCAGGATTTCTGACTGCCTCATCACAGAACTATGAGCATCACAAACTGCTTCAACAGCCTGTCATGTTGGACACTGATGTTTGGTTGGTGTTCAGGTCGTCCTGAAAGGGTTCCTGGGGCTGTTTCATGACCTTGACCACTAACACCCATACTTTACAGAGTTGGCTTTATGCACAGTGCCATCTTAAAACATTCATCAGTACTTGAAACTTTTCTTCTATGACCGTTATGCCATCTAATAGCTCCTCTATGGGGTGTCCAGGTGAATTTGGTGCAACAGCATTTTCCTATTTTGTGCCCTGGTAGTGAAATAACCTTCTAAACACACTACAGCTTCATGACTTTGTCTCCTTCTGGGAGTTCAAAGCTCTGATTAAAAGAATAATAGTAAAAAAAAAAAAAAATCTAACTGCAGAGTCCTATTCCTAAACTGGATGTTCCCTTAAAATACAGATTTTAATCTTAAAGGTTGAACAAAATGGGGGGAAAATTAAACTGGAAATGATCTTCCCCAAAATTTGAATCCTTTGTAATATTTTCCTCGAAATACTTTGGATCCTCTAAAAAAAAAATTCTGGAAACAACATTGCAATGTGGCGCCAACTGCAAAAGAAAACAGAGACAAAGCTCCAAGACAGTTGAGTTTAAGTATGCAAGGCTAGAAATGGAAGGACAATGATTCTGTAATTATAAGGTGCATTCAGACGACTGATAGGAGCTCAGGTGAATAAAGTAAATACCAACAAGGCAGTCGGTGAAACAAAGAAAACAAAACAATGAGTCCTTTTAAATCCTCTCGTACCTTCCATGAATCCAGCGTGTGGTTTCTGTGTACTTCGCTGCTGAACAGTTTATATGTTAGCAACCCATGAAATCTAACTGCATCTGGAAGACTTTGGATTGCTTTTACACCAGGCCCGTGTTGACAGCATGGTTAGGGTAAGGGTAAGGTTAGGGTGTGTCTAAATGTAGACTTCTAGAAATGGAACGGGCAATTATGTTGTACATACATGTTAACTGTTAAGCCCAAAATGATTTGTGTCAATGCTAATTTGATGATTTATAGTCAAAGTTTTGTCTTGTGAGCAAAATGTGCAACTCTTTCAGTGATTGACCCCAACAGCAAGCTCTCTAAGCTCTATGGTTTTAGCCATGACTTGCAATTGACTTGCATCCAACTAGAGAACTACTGTGCTAATTGTTTCCAAAAGACAAGGTGTGTCAGAACATTTCCAGGACTGGTGTCAGTCCTGGAACTGTGCCAAAAGACATATTTCAAACCCAAACTGTGAACTAGGAGTTTTCCCCCTTCAGACATCTACTAAGAGCTCCTGCGGCATTTGCCTCATTCTGGCAAGAAAAGTGGTGGCTGCTTCACCATGACAACACGCCTGTTTACAACGCCCTGAGCATCCCACAGTTCCTGGCTGAGAAGAACATCTCCGTGCTGGAGCAACCTCCCTACTCACCCCACCTGGCCCCGGGGGATTGTTTCCTCTTCCCCAAGCTCAAGGGGGTCATCAAGGCGACACGTTTAGAAGACGTGGAAGACATCAAGATGGCTGTGATGACGGAGCTGTGGAGGATCCCAGAAGAACACGGTCCCAGCAGAGACTGCATTTCCTGAGGAAGCTGAAACAAGTCTCTCTTCCTGCCAGCATCCTCAGGACTTTCTACAGAGGTGTGGTGGAGAGCGTTCGGACATCCTGCATCTCAACATGGTGCTCCAGCTGCAGTATGTCAGACAGAAAAGCCCTGCAGAGGATAGTCAGAGGAGCTGAGAGGGGCATCGGAGTTTCCCTCACCTCTGTCCAAGAACTTTTCCAGATCTGCTGCAGGAGCAGGACATTGTCAGGGACTCCTCACACCCTCTTCATAAACTGTTGGAACTGCTACCATCAGTTCAGGCAAACGTTTCCGGAGCATTAAAGGAAGAACCTCCAGACTGATCAACAGCTTCATTCCACAAGCTGTCAGAATGCTGAACTGCTGATCTAGATATGCAAACATCTTTATGAAAATTGCTTTAAGTTATTGGATCTTGAAGAAAAGCTCTCTCATCTTGTTTGTACTCCTGTGTATGTACAGCAAAATGACAATAAACATGATTTGATAACTGAGTGCTGTAAGGACTATTCTTATTGTTTTGAAGAAATGGTCTGCCCTTATAGAGCACTTTACAATGTGTTTCTCATTCACCCATTCACACACCAATGGTGACAGAGCTGCCATGCAAGGTGCTGCCTGCCATTGAGAGCAACTTTGGGTTCAGTGTCTTGCCCAAGGACACTTTGACTGTGGAGGGGTGAGGGGATCGAACCGCCAACCTTGCAATTGGAGGACAACCCGCTGAGCCACAGAGGCCCCAAGAATCCTTCCAGGAGTGCATGGCGGCGTGGCAGAGAAGGCTGGGAAAGTGGGTTTGACTCCAAGGGGATTACTTTGTCGTTTGGATTTGAAAAATATCTTTTGTGACACCAGTCCTGAAACTTTTCTCACACACCTTGTAGTATATTAGAACCCTCAGGGATATGATTAAACTTACCAGAACCATTTGGAATTATGTAGAAGTTTGCATTTTCTCAAAACTTTGAAACAATTTCAAGGCCCATGAACAATTTTGGACATGATATATTTAATAAGTAATAATAAAACATAGAAATAGTTCAAATTTATCACCAACATCTCCAGCATAATGCCTTACTGTGTTTCATCATGTCAAGCCAGAAGAAACTTATGGCTCAATTATTAAGTCACTATAAATCAAAATTTGTTGCAGCATGAACCATTTTCAGCTCAACTGTAAACTCTGTTGCTCTTCTAACTTGGATAAGGGATGAAAAAACCTCACATACAATAGTTGTAGTAAGATAAGTGTGATATGTTTACGAGGAGTTGTTTGTGATTCATTTCTGACAGGAAATTTACTCCCCATGTTTGTTCAGTTCACACATTTTGACATGTGAACTAAATGACCTTACAAGAAACTCAACAAAGTCCTTCATTTTAACATTTAGACATTCAATGATGGGCTGCAAGGTGGCTCGGTGGTTAGCACCGCTGCCTCGCAGCAAGAAGGTCGCCCGTTCGCGTTTTGGTGAGGACACCCTAGATCATTCTGCGTGGAGTCTCCATGTTCTCCCCGTGCAGCGTGGGTTCTCTCCGGGTTCTCTGGCTTCCTCCCACAGTCCAAAAACATCCATGCATCATCTATACACCGCTTGATCCTCACTAGGGTCGCGGGGGGCTGGAGTCTATCCAGGCTGACTTACGGCAAAGGTAGGGGACACCTTGGACAGGTAACCAGTCTATCACAGGGCTACACTTAGAGACAGACAACCAAGCACACTCACATTCACACCTACGGACAATTTAGAATCATCAATTAACCTCAACATTTTTTTGGACTGTGTGGGAGGAAGCCGGAGAACCCGAAGAGAACCCACGCTGCACGGGGAGAACATGGAGACTCCACGCAGAAAGATCCCCATGCTCCCACCGGGACGCGAACCACCGACCTTCTTGCTGCTTGTGCTACCAACTGCGCCACCTTGCAGCCCCAGTCAAAAAACATGAGTCAGCTGGGATAGACTCCAGCCCCCCATGACCCTAGTGAGGATTAAGTGGTGTATAGATGATGGATGGATGGACATTCAACCTGGATCATGGGAAATCTTCAGACTAAATAAAACTAGCAGCTAAGGGTAAAATATTGCCTGGTTCACCTACAATTAACAATTAAAAACTAAAACCGTGTTGACATTTTTATTTTATTTTTTTTCAATGAAGGAAATAAACTACTCAAACCACAAAAACCCTATTTTAACCAAAACCATCTGCACAGTGGCCTCCTCCTGCTCTTTGTTTATATGATGCCTGTGATGAGCCCACCTGTTCCGGTCGGATCTCCACCCTGCACCATGAAGTCTTTGATTATTCGGTGAAACTTTGTGTTGTTGTAGTAGCCCCTTCTGGAAAGTTCTGCAAAGTTCTTGCACGTTTTTGGCGCATGCTTCCAGTAGAGCTCCACCACAACTGTCCCCATCCTGCAAAAGCACGGTTAAGCATCATGAGTATCCCCCTTCGAGCTGCACAGGCTCCGCTGTGGTACTTTATAGTGACAGTATTACACGAGGAGGGATTTTTGACACTTGTTAAAAAAAAATGCTTGGAGCATCACAAAACAACTAACTGCCCACACGTCACTGGGAGCTAGCTGAGTTAGCATCCGGTGTTCTCATGCGAACTTACGTCGTGTCGATAGCTACAGTGGGCGGCTGCCAAGTGTCCGGAGGAATCCCTGTCATCTTCTCTACACGGTGTTTAAGTCTGAAATCGTGAAACAAATCTGCTTTAAATAGAAACTAGGTGATTTATCAGTCCGCCGCTTTCATTCAAACAACTTCCGGAAGTGTTCCTTCTTCTTCTGTGGTTTCCGCTGCGTGCAGTAGAGAGTCGGCAGCGACTGAGCGCCTCCTGCTGGACAAACCGAGGCGCGGCAGGGATTGTGTAAACTGTTACTTAACGAGGTTGTGAAACTGTAGAAAGGAGAAGTCGCAGTGAGTGATCGTGATTCATTTGGACAGCCTATAAATAATCCGTTTTACAGCTACATTTTCTATTTCCTTAAAAAACAAACAAAAAAAACATGCATAATAGAAATAATAATACTAGAAAAATTGTTGCAAAAATCTTGATTATTTCACATTGTTGAAAATCTCTTTGCATGTTAAGCAAAGTCTCCTCAGTGTGTCAAGGATTTAAACAAGGGAGATGGATGTAACATCACCTTCAGAGCTGCAATTCTGCTTCAGCAAAGAAACACGTTTATCTGTGTTTGTGTGTTTTTGCTGTTAATTTGTCTTGTCATGTCTAAGAAGCCACAATTGACACTGCCAACAAAGAAATTTCCCTGCAGCTCGGTTCAGACCCTTTTTTGTTTTCTGATTTGACATGTTCTGTCAAAGCAAGTTATGACAGTCTTTTTAGTTGGTGATTAAGATTCTGAGTCACACAGTTATCAGTAGGAAATCGGTAAGTGCTAAGTGTTTATCAAGTCAATCAGGTCAAATCAATCTTCATTATCGAGCATTTTGGCAGTGTGTGTTTTACATTTTTGATCAAAATGTCACCACACTTAGCAACGTGTCTTCACAGGAGCTAGGGTATAATTTGTAACAGGATGAACTTGTAATAGTGCTAAGTGCCTCCGGTTGGGAGTGGTCCAGTCTGTGTGTCGTGGGCTTCAGGTGCTGCTGACTGAGGGCAGGTGTGATCTGTCCATGATCAATGATATTTGAAAGCTGCTGACAGGCCGGTACAGACTAACAGTTTGCTGGGAGCGTGTGGCTGCAATTCAGGTGTGTCTCAATGTACACATGCAGCCAACTTTCCAGGCTCATGATGATTTGCACTTCTTTGTGTGCAGGCCAGGATCCACTCCTTGTGCTGCGGTTTTAAGGTGGAATTGGGCTTCTGCAGGTTGAAGTGCAGCGCCAGCCTGAGCATGTCCAGCTGACCTGTTAGTAAAGAATAAATCAAGTTTTAAGGTGTGATGTGGCCTTTTGGCTTCTGCTGAGTCTGATCGGTCAAATCTACAGCCTGTAGGTGTGTTGTGAATAAGCAGCATTTTGTTCATGATGCACTAAAGAGAAAAAGTGAATATGTCATCACTCTTGAGCAGAAGATGATAGTATTGGCTGATGGTAAAGCTTTACAATGCAGCAGGATAAGGGCATGAAATGCAGAGTGGCTAATGCTGTGGCCTGCTACAGGACATTTGTCATGCATTCACCATGAGGTCATGCAATGTGAAAAGAGGCAGGAAGAGACCATTTGCACTCGACAAAAGAGTAGTTTCAAACACAGAGAAGAACTTTTGAAATCTCAGAATTCCAGCCTAGGGAGTGATGATGTTGTGAACTGCCACTGCTTACTCATGTTAGGGCAAAGGGGAGATGTTTATGCCAGCACTTGGCTGTAAAATTTGTGATCTTGTGGATTAGTTGTTTTCTTAATCACTAATTATTGGGTGTCAGCAGCCCAGTCAAGGGAGCAGTTAACCTGCACTGCCATTTTCAGGATGAGTGAAATTGATGGGAAAAGCCTGAGGTATACTATCAAGGGTGTGAAGTGTCAATACACAAAAGAGAGATTAATTAAAGATAAGATGATTGTTTGTTTTGTCAGCAGACTTCTTAAGGTGGGGAACAACGAATAACACAGGTCGGATTTGCAGCAGATTGTGGGGTTTTTGACCTTAAGTATATTTT